CTACCTACCTATGCCTATGCTTCTCTATCACTCAAATGGAGAAATTGATTGCTTTTGGTTGTAGTTTTGGATTTTTTATTAATATTTGTTTGTTTGAGATAGAATCGCACTAGTAATAATCCTAACTGGTCTTGAATACACTTTGGAGGCCAAGCTGGCCTCAAACTTGAACTTGAGCAATTCCCCTACTTCTGCCTTCTGAGTGTTGTGACTTCAGGTGTGCATACTTTCCTGAAGATGATGTTCAATTGGAGAGAAACTGGGTCTGAGTTCATTCTTGGTATGGGACATAGGATCCCAATGCCCCCTTTCCCTCTCCTTTTCTAATAATTAAGTTTGGTGCCAGGGCTCCAACCCAGGGTCTCACACAAGAGAGGCAAGCACTCTACCACTGAGCCCCAGCCCCATCCTGCTCTCCCTTCTGACACTATGATCTCAGACTTTTTACTGAATCATCCCTAGTTCTCCTTGTGAAAAGGGTGGTATCAGTCCTTTGCCTGTGTATACTTATTGAGCTCATGCTAACACACTGTGAGGGTAATCATTTTCACTTTGGCTGGCACTGAGAGTATGTGGAGAACTTAGTCAGACCATGGCCTGGTTCTGCACTTTAAATAAAGAGTTCTGGGGGGAGGGTGTGGGGATGGATTTGATCAAAACACATTGTGTACTTGTATGAAATTCTCTAACAAAATAAAAAGAATTCTGGGCTGGGATTTAAGTCAGTGATAGAGAACTTGCCCAGCATGCCCCAGACTCAAGGTTTAGTCCCCAATAACACACACACACACACACACACACACACACACACACACACAATCCTTTTTGTTTTGAGACTGTATCTCACATAGCTTGGCTGGCCTTGAACTTCTGATCCTTCTGCTTCTACTTCCCTAGTGCTGACAGGCACCACCCAGTCTGGCTTATGTGGTACTGGGAGGCCAACCCAGGGCCTTCTGTGTGCTGCATGAGCAGTTAACAAGTAAGCCACAGTCCTATCCTTGTCCTTAAGTCATTCCAATATTGAGGATTGTGTAGCCGGCAGCATATTTATTGTTATTCAGTACTGTCTGCTTTCTGTATAGCTGGCACTGTGGTCAGCTTGCACAGGCTCTACCTTTTTATAATAAGCCACAAGGTAAAGAGCTGGTATTTAATGAGCACAGACTGCAGCCAGGCATTGCTGCATGCGCTCCACATATGGGATCACACTCAATTCTCACAACAGCTTTATCTATCAGGTAGCCATCTACTTAATGATTTAGAACCGAGGCTTAAACAGGCAAAGAAACTTGACCACAGTCCTCCAGCTAGCTGACCTCAGAGCCAGTATTCAGGCCCAGATTTTCACTAAATTCAACACTACTTGCCACAGACAGCACAAAATGCAAATATATTTTGGAAGCTTGAAGGCCTCACAGAAGCAATGCAAATAAGAAGCCAATAAATAAGAATAGGTTTTTATTTGCAAAAAAAGAACTCACTGGGAAGTAGATGTGGAGAGACAAGCATTCAAGGGTTAGTCCTGTTCCCCCCCAGTTTTTACTTTTGGGACAGTGTCTATTTAGATAGCCCTGGCTGTCCTGGAACTCACTATGTAGACCAGACGGGCCTCAAACTCATAGAGATCCACCTGCCTCTGCCTCCGCAGGGCTGAGATTAAAGGCGTGCACCAGCACACCCAACTTATGGTGAAGGCTTGATGACCCGGTAATGGGGTTGTGGAGTCAGTGAGCTATGCCTGGTTTGTGCAGGGTCTTGACAAGCTGTGTGTGAACTGAGCACCTCACCCTGGACCAAAGGTAATAGTGAGGGTTAACGAAATCTGAAACACCATACAGATGTCAAAAAACATTGAACCACCCACAAAACCTACCCATCTCAGCTTTCAAATGGTGGGTGGGTCTTCTAGTATAAATCAGAGGGGCTGGAGTGTTAGTGATCTACTAAGGGTCAGAGGTGTATTTATAGTCCTCGGGACAGGGCTGTAAAGCACAACCAACAGGAAAGCTTGAGAGATAGCTCAGCAGTTAAGACTATTTCCTGTTCTTCCAGAGAACCGGAACTTAGTTCCCAGTATGGAGTTGAGTAGCATATGGTCTGTGGCTCCAGCTCCTCAGAACCTTGCTGTTGTGAGGACCTTTGCATACACACGTCCACACAAATGCATCAGTAAGACAACTCAAAACACCCACAACAAAGAAAATAAGCATAGGAAACTTCCATCCTCAGAAATCTAACTTGGTGATACAGATTTAGGTTCTTAGTTTTTCTGGAATTTGTTTGTTTGTTTTTAAGGCTAGCACCACCATGTCCTGCTTTCCGAACACTTCTGAGTCATTTTTTAGTGGTCTAAGATCCATTATGAGCTTGCCACATGTTTAACCCTAACACTTTCGAGGCAAAGACAGGTGGATCCCTGAGTTCAAGAGAAAGTTCCTGGACAGCCAGGGCCACATAAACAAACCCTGCCCCGAAAAACTGACCAACCAACCAACCAACCAACCAACCAACCAACGGTCTATGAAGAAGCCTTCTGACCCTAGATCCTATACATCAGATAAACCAAGTTACTGACCTTCCAACTTTGCTCTTTCCTCAGGATACCCACTCAGAGCAGTGTCAGCAGGAACCCAAGGCCTCCACAGGGACTCAGCCCACCGGATAAGCTGGAAGGCTGATATTTACTTATTTTCTTGGCACTTCAGGGGATTCAGCTAGGAATTGACACGGTGACAAGTGTCACTGATCCACATTGCTGATTGAATACAGGGCCTGAAGCAGTGTGGAGAAGAAACAGCTCACCAGAGCTCACTGTTTTCGGCTGAACCACATCATCTCAAAGTCACAGTAAAGTGGTTTTCTAGGTCTAGTTTGCCTTTCGCAGTCTGGTATGTAAGTATCCTTTCAGAATGCAAGGTTAGATAAAGTACAGAAATGTTTTCCATTTGCCACGCCCCCTGCTAGGAAGCACATGGTACTATCACTTTAAAAAGTGCAGTGTACTGTAATTCCTTGTTTTCTTCAGGGTTTCGGGAATGCAGCCACAGGCCTTAACCATGCTTGTCAAGTGCTCTACCCCACTTACACCCTGGGCCTTAGGATTCTTAAAGAAAATATTTGGGGGGAGGGGGCTGGACTGATGGTCCAGGGGTTACGAGCATGGGCTGCTCTTCCAGTGTAAGTGGGTTCAATTCCCAGCACCCACATGGCAACTTAACAACTGTCTATGACTCCAATTCCAGGGAATCTGACACCCTCAGTGTTTTAGGCAAACACTAATGCACATAAGATAAAATTAAATTATTTTTTAAAAAGAAAATATTTGAGAGTATCTGCTCTTCATGTAAAATCAAGGGGAAAGTAAACAAGGTTGTAGCAGGAAAGCCTATAAAAAGACAAGCATATTCAAAGATATGTATCACTTTAAAAACGCACAGGTTCATTTATATTAGGGTTTGAATGTTCTGGGTCTAAAGGGGAGGGGAGGGGGGTAGGGTGGCACAGAAAAAAATCCTAAGCAATCCTATTATCTTCACCACAATGATCAAACATTAAACTTCAGCATATTAAAAAACATTTTTAAAAGAGCTTTTAGAGCTTTTAAAAAAGAGAAAAACCTACAATATCATAGTGCTGCAGGGTCCCTGTGTGGGGTAAAATGGCATTTTAGGATGTATAACTCAGAATGCTTGCCTAGCACCCACAAGGGCCTGGGTTTAACACACACCCACTCTCACACAAAAAGGTATTACCACTCTAGAATATCCAGTGAACTAAAGCTGAATATATATTAGCTTATGTGAGAAGCTGCCCCTAAGAGAGGAATGATATTGAAGCAATATTAGTATTTTAGAAGGGGAATCGCTTTTTACAATCTTTATTCTTTGAAAGCTCCATGCATGTGTGCAGTGTATTTTGATCACAGCCACCTCCCAGCAAATGGTTTTTTTTACTGTGCAAAAATGCTTGCAGTGCTGGTCTCCAGAAGTCTTTCAGCTGTGATCCTAGGATGCAGGGCCCTTGCCTGCAATCCACAGAATAAGGGGATTACTTCCAAATGCTGCCTGTTAACCCTTTCTGTCCAGGGCTGAAAAAAACTAGGAAATGTGAAAATGCGCATTTTCAAGGATGAGCATTTGGAAGGGGAAGAGGACTTGCCCATGGAAACTGTTGATCTCTAAAATAAACAAGCACTGATGGGGCCTTCAGACTTTGTGCATGCAGGTCCCACTACTCAGTGTGTGTGATGCTTACAAAATCTATAGTCTCCTACTTGAGGTCCTCTTCCAACTGAAAGGAGATAGGCCCTATTTTACTTACAGTGACACCCATGCTGGGCGTGGCCCAAAATGGAAAGATTAGGGCCGTATTAACTCTTGTTGTTCTGGAAACAGGTCTGGCCTTGAACTCATGATTCTTCGGCCTGTCCAGTCTCTTGAGTCCTTGGATTATGGGCATGTAACACCACACCATACCAACCTCTGCATTTGAGGGGAGAAACCCTACCCCCAAAAGCTAACAAAACAAGCCTAAGTATTTTTTTTTTTCATCCTGTAACTGGCAAAGGCTTTTTCCTCCAAGACCTAATAATTTAACAGACTTACTTGTTCTTGGTCTTTGGAAAACAAATCTTGGTGTGTAAAGGAGATGGCAGCTTCAGAAACACAAAGCAAAAATAAATTTAAAAAGCCCAGCCAGCCAGGGTGAGTTGAGAAGCCAGCCCCTCCCCCTCCTTGAAATTTCCAGACAAAGGGTGCTTGCTGATGTGTTGTAGAGAATTCCTCGAAGGAAGGCGTGCAGAGGGTTGACACACACGTGGCTGACGCCATCATTCGGGGTCAGGCCTGCCAAATCTGGCCAAGAGGAACTTAGTATTTGTCAATAGCCGGCTCTTCCCAGAGAAGTCACTAGCTCCAAAACCACCACAGACCAGCAGCCTACAGTGACAGGCAGGGCTCTGGGCACAATCTCAGGCATAAGAATGACAAAAGTCAAGATTTAGGGTTCAGTTCCAGCTGATTTTATTTCCTTCTCAAAAAAAGTTATTTACAGAAGGTATATAGCAACAACCTGACAGGCAGTGATGGACAGAATTAGCTGGCATGATTTTTTTTTTTAATTTTCCTTTTTTTTCTCTTCCCCCAAACATTGCTTTTTTTTTGTGGCCTTGAATTTAAAGACAAATATTCTACACGGCATATTGCACAGGATGGATGGCAAAAAAAAAAAAAAAAAGAAAAAGAAAAAGTTTTAAAACAAAAACCCTTAACGGAACTGCCTCTTAAAAGGCAGGCGTCCTCGTGCCTGTCATGTTATATTAAACATACATACACACAATCTTTTTGCTTATTATAATACAGACTTAAATGTACAAAGATGTTTTCCACTTTTTTTCAATCTTTAAACACAACAGCTATAAACCTGAACACATATGCTATCACCATGCCATAAGACTAAAACAATTATATTTAGCGACAAGTAGAAAGGATTAAATAGTCAAATACAAGAATGAAAACGCAGTACATAGTGTCGCGAACTCAAATCGGCATTTAGATAGATCCAGTGGTTTAAACGGCACGTTTTTGCTTATAAAAAAAGTGCAAAAAAGATGTGGTTTACGAGTTAAAGCTACAGAATCCCTTTTTGCTGTGAATGCCCCAGTTTTAAAGCCTCTGGACAGGACAGCAATTCGTTTAAAAATTTGTTTTTCTTAAAGCATTATGGTGCTGGGCTGAACTCTCCTCCCCATTTTATCAGCCTGGGGGGGGGGGTCTAAAGGTGGAAACTGGTGGCAGGTTAGGGATACTGTCACTTTAAGAAGCCTGCAGATTGAAGTGTAAACATGGAGAAACCAGGGGCTGATTTTTCAAACTGTGTGAGATATTAACCAGCCACCCTATTATAAAATCAGGAAATCCAAACAGCGATTTACACCGATTAACACCCCCTTTATATATTTTTTACAAAAATACACTGAGAAAATAATCAAACGTTTTCATCTCTCTTGTCTTTTTTGTTTTTTAAAAGTGTCAAAAGTCTACATTTAAATATAAAAAATTAAAAGTTAAAACTCTAGCCCTTCAGTGAAGGAGACATAAAATGGCGTGGGTAACAACACTAGAAAAAGAAAGAAAATAAAATGAAGATAAAAATAAAGAAATGAGGTCAAAAGACAAGAAAGCAAAAGAAAGGGGAAAAAAGGGACAAAATAAGAAAACTGTTTGGCCAGTATAAATACGTCCACATATAAAATGGCATCTGATTACATTTACAAGGAAAAAAAAAATACAAAGATGGAGCGTCCGTGAGGGGGTAAAAATAAACGGGTCTTCTCAATTACACCTATAAGGAATAAACACACACGGAGAAAAAATTTGGTCCTGAATTGTGTTTTTTCAAAAGTCCAGCACAGATTTGAGTTGCGTTTGAATCCTTTTAAAGAGTTAAGAATGAAAAGGAGCTGGTGATCGGTTCGTTGTAGGAATCAAACATAGCGCCATCTATCCGCTTCTTATATTATCCTACACTATTTTAAAAACTGCTCAACAGTCTTATACAGAAATCTTCAAAAGATAGACAGGATAACATGCTATATTAACCCCACCAGTGAAATAACTCAACACCATCACGATTCCCATTAAGAGAAGAAAAAAATCTCTTTCCCCCCCAAAACCACTCCGTGGCCCCGAACCACATCCCACAGTCTCCTATCCTCCCGCCGGCTCTGGGTAGCCTCACCTCTGAATTTTTTTTTTTTTTTTTAATTCTTTATTTTGCACAGACCCCAGACGGAGGCCCGGGGACCCCAACACCCTCTGCGCTCCGGGTCCTTCTGAGTCCCCAACCAGGCGGCTGTGGCTTCCACGAGGTCCCCATGTTCATTTCCGAGGCTGGCCTGCTGCTCCCTGCACATCTCTGGCTGCAGAGACAAGGAAGGGGGGAAAAAAAAAATCCCAACCCGGGACTTCGCCAGCGTGGAGTCTCTCCATCCCATTGCTCCCCCCAAGCCCAACACAAACGCCATGGCCAAACGCATCAATCACCCCGGAGCCTTCTGTCTTCATTGCAGAAAAATAAAAATAAAAAAGGAAAAAAATACAAAGAAGGGTGGGAAGGAGAGGGGGGCGCGCTGGATTTTCCCCCTCCTTTCTTGACCAAGAGGCAAAATAAAAATCAAACAAGAAATCACCAAGGTGGTGAAGCAAGAGGGGGCAAGATTCCTTCGGTCTCTAGAAGCCTAGCTCTGCTTCTTTTCTTGCTGGGGGTGCAACCAAGTCCGGAAGCTCGTTGGAAGGGGAGGGGGGAGTCTCTTCAAGCAAAAATGGGGAGGAAACTCGAAGTAGCTGTTTTAGCCACCAACAACATCAATAACAACAATAAAAGGTCGCCCCCGTCTACTCTCCGCCTCCTCCGAGTCCCCAGCCCTGGGAGTGGGGGATGGGAGCGCAGGTCCACAACGCCCCCGCGCTCCTTCTCCAACAACGGGACATGGTCGAGGCCAGCCCTGCGCACTTTTTCTTCCTTTTCTTTTCCCCTTTCTCCTTCCACTCTCCATCTGTTCTTTTTCCTCTTTTTTCTTTTCTTTCTTTTTTTAAATTTTTTTTTGTTTTGTTTTGCTTTTGTTTTCCTCTCTCCTCTCCTGCCTCTTGGCCCTCCTTCTCCCCGGCCTGCGCTCCCTTCAGTAGGTGAAGACCAGGTTGGAGATGCTGGACTCCAGCCAATCTCCCGAGATCATCTCGCTCACCTCGGGTGTGCAATAGTCCGGGAACTCGAAGTGGGAGCCTGAGCCGGGTTCGAAGTTAAAATCCAGGTCCCGATCGAGCGCCGATGAGGAGCTGAAACTGCCCAGGGACATGCTCTCAAAGTTTGAACTGGGGTTCAGGTCGAGCAGGTCGTCTTCGAACTCATCGTCGGACGACGAGGAGCCAGAGGAGGAGGACGACGAGGAGAGCGACGAGGACGCGTGCGAGGGCGCGCTGGACGGGGCGGGCGAGGCTGCGCGCAGGCTGGCGTAGCCGCG